GTTTTTCATGATTTTAACGTGGGATTTTCACCCAAACTCATATTTTGACATATAAGACCCTATATATTCATATTTTAATCAGTTTTGAGGGAAAATCTTAGTCTAAGAATAAAATCTATTGGATAAGATTTTTTGGTGGAGTGTTGACTTTTCCATAAATCTATGACACAAGCAACCTCTCATACCCACTCCATGTCACTATTCATGCTTTATGTCACAAATCTCATCATCCCTAGTCTCTTCCTTGTCCCCTCACACCCTTTTTCCAGCAAGTTATCTTGATCAAAGATCTGGGAAAAATCCTTATCACTCCTCCCACCTTACTCACTCTTCACCAAAGAGCAAACTCATTTCTCTCTCTCGTTTTCTCTCTCTAAACTCGAGATTTCAAGGTTGTTCTTGAGCATTCCCTCCAGTTTTGGTAAGTATCTTCATCCTACATTTGAAAACTCTTTACTTCTTCACTCAAATCATGAATCTCTTACACAAATATCGTCATATTTGTGCCTAGAATCTTCGAAGCTTCAAGCATCTCCCAAGTGTTCTTGACTTGGAAACCTCTCTTCTTCGACATTCATCTCAGGGAATCACTCAAGGTGAGTTCGTACCCCCACATTTTCATGTTTTCTTCAAGTTTTAGGGGGGGGGGATACAAGTTAAAATACCAAAAACTTAACTAAATTCAAACAACAACTATCATCAGAAAAGTTGAGTCCTATTCACGGACTGTTTTGACCAACTTAGACTTAATATCTTTCAAAACTGTTTAATATGCAAATATTTCAGGTTTATACCTTTAAAATGACTACTTGTACATCTCCATACGATTTTTCTACAATTTATGGCGATTTTTACAAAACTGTCTATCATTTCAGAAACAAATTTGGACCAGTCTGTGAATATGAACATTTTCACACAAGTTAGAGACTTCTAAAAATCATAATAAAAATTATGAATAAACTAGACACAATTTCTAAACTCTCATAGTTTACGGATTCAGTTTTCGACTTCGTACAATTTTTCTATGATGTTTTTAGAACAGTGCAGAAAGGTTAAAAACTAGTTACATAGCTTACAATATTAACAACACTTTGTAGTATGTTGAGCAAAGTGCATAACAATAAGTTTCTAAATGTTGAATGTATTTCTTGTTAGTTTATCATCATAAACAGAAATTAGTCATTCATGAATAAGATTTTTCCATTCATTTCGAACACATATAATAAACTACAATAAGTATAGTTTATGGATTTTACGATAAAAGCACACAACAGAAAAGGTTTTACTCTAAAAAACAAATGAGTTTTTCATATACTACATGATAAACTATAATATTAATAGTTTATGGATTTCATATCACGAATTTATTACATAAAAGGCGATTTCACTTCCAGCACGGAAGAGGTTTTATACTCAAAATATATGTAAACTAGTTAACGTAAGTTGTGAGACAATTCTTCCATCGTACTCTTAGAATACGGGTTAAAATTCTTGTAAGTTATAACCAGAGTCTCTTGTAGGGAGAGCGTGATAATTGTGTATAGATATATATTGAGATTGACACCCCACACCTCGCTGCTAGCTACAGCCGGACCTACAGGTCTGCGGGTGACAAGAGTCATAGGATCTTGACGTCTGGAAAACGTTTTTGCAGGTTAATTCTCGTTGTAGTATGGTTATAACGACTCACATAGGGAGTTAACAATCTTTCAAGTTTACAGGGAAAATTCTACTTTGAAAAGGGGTTTTATCTATTTAAAACTACAAACACGTTATAGGTACAAAACACACACATATTCTCGGTCTTGGGATTTAAGACTATATGACTTTTATAAGGAAAATATTGGATTTTCTTTGGAAACACATCACTATTATAAACATTATAAGTACAAAACACACACATATTCTCGGTCTTGGGATTTAAGGCTACATAACTTTTTATAAGGAAAATATTGGATTTTCTTTGGAAACGCATTACTATTATAAACATTATAAGTACAAAACACACACACATATTCTCGGTCTTGGGATTTAAGGCTACATAACTTTTTATAAGGAAAATAAGGGATTTTCTTGAAGTATACATGACAAAGTACCAGGTTTACACTAAATGGCTTTCATGATATTAAAACTACGTTTCATCTAGAATTGTTAGACTTCAGCTATAATTTGCTAAGTATACATGTTAGAGTTATATAAGAATTTAGTCGCAATCGACTTGGAATTGGTGGGCCCGCCTTACTTCCTATTCCTTGTTTGGTTGTGGACCTAAGGCAGACCCATTATATTCGACGGTTTATTTAACTTAAATTTTATATAACTTATATACACTGGGTGATTATAGAAGGAATATACAGGTTTTTCTAGGGTACATTATTGCATAACATAGGAGTGTTCATTTCACACTTAATAAAGAAAATATTGAATTTTCTGGAATCATACTCTATCGCTTTTACAAGGAAAATGACTTCTTTCTCAAATAAAACTCTTATGAACTCACCAACTTAATTGTTGACACTCTTTCAAAACTACTTGTATTCTCAGGAAATCAGTGAAACAGGAAATCAACAGCTTTTGAGGATGGGACGTTAAATTGTCAAACATTTCATTTTGTCATCATAGTGTAATTGATTTGAAACATGTAAACACATACTATGGTGAAACTTTTTCAATTATATCTATGATGGTTGTATTTACTTTGAGCACTATTATATTCGTTGTTGTGATACTATACATGAAGTCCTCCACCCCCGGACGTTTCCGCCATCCTTGGTTTGGGGGTGTGACAACGAGGGAGATGGTATTGGGGCGAACATAAGGGAGGGGAGGGGTAGGACAAGGATGAAAATATGCACTTATGTTGTTTTTTGTGTAAGTATGTTTTCGTTTTGTGTGTATTTAATTAACTGGTTGTATATAAAAATAAAAATGATATTTTTATCTCAGATTTTATCTTAAAAAATAGTAAATGACTTATTTAAGTAATTAATTAATATTTTTTTTATCAAAATGTGCAATGAAACAGAGTAATAGACCTTCATATCAATTTATGTAATTATCTCTCATTTTGTTATAAAAGGTGATCAATTTATTCATGCAAACTTTTGATAATATTATTGTTGGTTTATGGACTTCAAGGAGACATAATCGGGTTTGTTGAAAATAATTATAAGCAAACTAAAATATAATTACATCAATAGATAATAATATTAAAATTTGTAGATAAATGAACATTTCACTTTGTAAAAATTACTAATAGTTCGTACAAATATTTATAATATTAAATTAAAAAGTTTATCTATTGTGTTTTTGTTGATTTAAACATGTGATCAACATTTAAACCACAAAATAAAATTTCCATGAAGTTATAATATTTTCTTACCCTATTTTGCAAATGAATGATAGGTTCTTAATAAAAACTTTATTTACTGTTTTTTTTGTAAGTCGTAAAGAATTTGCCCTCAATAACAAAGTCCACGTTCATGGTCGTTATTCGTTAGGTTGTTACATCATGTATCATATCATTACTTTATGCAACCACTTTCTTTATGCAATCTGTCTTTAACTATATTTGCATGTATGATTTGTGAAGTCATATCATTCTATTTAATGTTTATTATCAATTAGATTCCAATAATAAACATGTAAAAACAATATTTATTATAAAATCTTTGATCAATAGAACTTGGTTTAGATACAAATCTTTAGCCTTATTTGATTATGATTATGGTGGTTTATGTTTAAGTCTTAATAAGCTTATAATTTATAGGCAAGTCACACAAGGTTTTTTGTTTGAAACTTCTTTAAACATGTGATGACTTATTTAGTAAATTATTGGGGTTTCCTTTCCCCATTAAGCTCTATAGTTTCGCACAATTTCCATTTATGTTGTATGATTGTTTTCTCTAAAATATCTTATTCAACATACTTAACAAACAATTATTTGTATTTTATTTCTAGAATAGTGTGTGTCCATACATACTTCTTCAACTAAACATCATTAGTTTATATAGTTTAACAAAAAGACCAACAAGATATAGTTAAAGATTTCAAGTAGTATATGACTAAATATTAATTTTACATGAAAGATGATCGAGAATAATATACTCTTTATAATATAATTAGGTTATAAATCATATATTATACGGTTCATAAAAATAAATAACATATAAAATATATATTTGCAAACATATATTTTATATAAAATTAGATATTCGTTTTCAATAAGATCTAACTAGAAACTTTGCATATTTTTCTAATGTCGATTTGATTTCATCGAACAACAAAATCATAAGTGTCAAGAAAAAAACCTAATGAAAGTGGGAGGGTTAGGGTTATCACACAAACCAAGAAAAAACAGAATGAAAGTGGGAGGGTTAGGGTTATCACACAAACCATGTTATGGGGTTAGAAGATGAAGTAGTGGAGTAGCAACCGAAAGCAACGAAAGTAACTTCCAAAAGAAATTGTAAAGCGGTTTTGAAAGAAATCGTAACCCCTAATTTCTTGGGATTTTATTTATTAACATATTATAATTATAATTATTTGAAATTAAAATCCTAGAAATTTGAAACCTTTAGCTTAAAGGGTATATTCGATAGTTCGTTTTGGAAGTTTTTTGGTTGAGAAGACGTGATAGGCAATAAATAGACTATTTTATTAGAATATAGATTTTTAAAGTTATTGTAATAAAAATATATAAATAAATTTGTGAAAATACAATAAATAAGAATTTTATTTTTAAAAATCTCAAAGAACTAGAAAAATAATTATAATATATGTAAAATATTATTTTGTTATAAAATTGATGTACAAAAATATTTCGTTTGGAATTAATCACGTATAGGAAAAAAAAAATCTTACTGGCCCCCTAAAATATCTCGAACTACAAAATTGTAATTTACACCACTTTTTTTTTTCTATTGAAACGGTTATACGTGATGCATCAACATTTGTACCTTATGCATCACCAGTTGTATCTTATGCATCAAAGTTCGCAGTCTCAACCGGAGCGTCGACAACTAGAAGCAGGTAGAAATTTGGCGCAAAATCCGTACGGTTGTGTGTCACACTCGCATTGGACAGACCATCTTCAATGGTGGTGGACAGCTGAACAAGAACACCTTTCTGGAGTCATCGCAGAAAATGGCGTGCCACCTCTCTACTATTGCCACCGGAAAGTCACCGGTATTGCTCCTTCCACCGCATTCTCCCCCAATCGCCAGGTATCCCCTTTCTCTCTAGGGTTTGTTTAAATTCACCTCCTAATATAGTCACTAAAATGTGTTTTCCTATTGCTTCAATTGGTGGAATTTGGATAATTGACCTGAAGGGAGTTGTTATTGCTACAGAATTGCAATGTAGTGTTGATTGGAATTGGCAAATGTGATCGGTTTTAGGGTTTTGAGTCTTAAATCGGTGCCTTTTTTCTTATAGCATTTACATTTGGGTATCTGTACTTCAACAGGGTCATTCTTGTCTTATTGAATTTATGTCGATTAAGGATATGATGATACAAAAGAAGATTAAACCTAGAAATCCAGTGTTTTCAATTGTTAGTGTTGATTCAACTTTATGGCTTCTATTTCATTTGTAATCTCGGTTACTGTAAATCCTGTAACCTTCATCTCTACATACAGGAAATTGCCAGCAAATACAAGGTTCAAATGTTGTATCAAATCACCATTAACAATATCAATCAAGGATGCAACTACACATCTTGTATCAGCACTTGCTTCTTCCTTACTACTTCTATCCTCAACAAATCAGGTTGGTGGATCTAACCAAATGTCTAATATACCCTTCAATAAGTGACACATTAATTATCGTAATCATTCCCTCTTTTCAGGTTTTGGCTACAGAACTTTCACATAATAATTTATGTCAGATTTCAAGTACCACTAGCAACATGCCAACTCTTCCTCTTGATGAGGGTTCAAATCTTATGATGATGAGAGGCATGACAGCAAGAAACTTTGATCCTGTAAGATACGCGGGAAGATGGTATGAAGTTGCATCACTTAAACGTGGATTCGCTGGACAAGGTCAAGAAGATTGCCACTGCACCCAGGTAGTTGACAGTTGACAGTTGACAGTAGACAGTAGACGATGGATAGTGGACAGTGGAAAGTAGACAGTAACCGATTATTCTGATTGCAGGGGGTATATACGATTGATATGGCAACACCAGCGATCCAGGTGGACACATTCTGCGTGCATGGAGGGCCTGATGGGTATATCACTGGTATACGGGGTAGGGTTCAGTGCGTTTCAGATGAAGATTTTGACAAAACACAAACAGACCTAGAAAAACAAGAAATGATCAAAGAAAAGTGTTACCTCCGGTTTCCCACATTGCCCTTTATTCCTAAAGAACCTTACGATGTCATCGATACCGATTATGACAATTTCGCCCTTGTTTCTGGTGCAAAAGACAAGAGCTTTATTCAGGTACACCAACATAGATTTCTACTTTCATTAATCTTTACAATGTGAAACACAGTACAACCTGTTCTATTTTGTTCTGTTCAGATATACTCAAGGACACCAAATCCTGGGGCAAAATTTATAGAAAAATACAAGCTTGTGTTGGCGGATTTTGGGTATGATGCAAGCAAAATTAAGGATACACCACAGGATTGTGAGGTGTCGGATAGCAAATTAGCTGCAATGATGTCCATGAATGGAATGCAACAAGCTTTAACAAATCAGTTTCCTGATCTTGAACTTAAGTCTTCTGTTGAGTTTAATCCTTTCACAAGTGTATTTGATACCTTCAAGAAGCTTGTTCCGCTGTATTTTAAGTGATCAAGGGTCTTTTTGGTATTTCATTTTGTGGAACTGCTAAATACACTAGCTTGTGTATACAACCATACAAATTTCGTTCATGTCCTCTCTTAAAAGTTATGGATTCATTGAAGAGAATGAACTTGGATTTTGATTTTGTTTTATATTTAGTTTGAATTTTCGGTATAATATTTTTTGGATTCGCATAGAAGAAGATGAAGGAAATGAAGATAGGGGCAAAATAGTCATTTTACTTAAACTTGATGGAGCCTCTTCTAAGCCAAGATTCATAAGTACAATGAAAGTGATGAACTATAGGGACCATCCATGCAAAAAGTAAAACATCTTGACTGAATTCGTAACTTTTAAAAAAAGCCAAGCCGCATGGATGAAATTTGTAATTTAGTCAAAATTTAACTTTTTTCTTCCTAATTCACAGTTTGTAGATTTCAATGGGTTAAAAGTTCATTAGTAAGTAGTTGTAATTGATGTATTTTGCACTCTGTTTTCCGTTAAGCCTGTTTAATCACTTGTACTTTCATTTATAATCTCTTCAAGATATAATCTATGCAATTATTTTTTTCCAAAAGAAAAAGGACAAAGAGTCGTTTCAAAACATGTTTTCAAGTAGTTTTACTTTGGTCAAAGATTCAATCAAGTACAAAAAGCAATTTTACGAAAACACCCAAAAAGCCAATTGCCATAACTCATAATGGAGACAACATGTTTTTGGCTTCATGTTCACAACTCCACATGACATGTTATCACATCTTGGTAATGATTTCCTTCCACACAAGGAGAATTTGATATATTTTTGCATAAATAAACAAAAAACAAGTAGTCAACAAAAGCCCCTTATCATATCCTTTCCATGATTTAAAATAACACCGATAAACTTGAGTAAATTACATTTTTGTCCCGGAGTATAGCTAGTTGTTTCAATTTTAGTCTCAAAATATTTTCTCTTGCAATTTTGGTCCTTATTTGAGATTCTTTTACTCTTTTTTTGTCCCCAGTCCAAGTAATGAATATTTTCGAGACAAAAATTACAAAAAAACATTTGTATTAAACGGCCCAAAATGATCATTTTACTAGGAATAGGAATCAAGAAACGTTAAAGAACCTTAAATAAGGACCAAAATTGGAATAGAACCGAAATTGCAAAAATCGGCTATACTTAATGACCAAAAATCTAATTTACTCGATAAACTTTTGTAATTTGTTTATTGCTAAATCCATTACACCGAAAGCTTTGAGAAACTAAGTTTCTTGAACTTATTTGTAATCGGATTTGCCCACGACTTATCGGGCACTCCACATTTTACATCCACAATTTCAACAATGCAAGATGCCTTTTTGTCATTCTTCTTTCTACCCGAAGTTCCATTTCCATCCCCACTGTCAGACCGGAGAAAAGGATTCCGGCTAGCCGTTCTGGCATGGTGATGCTTCGGTTTCCGGGAACCACCACCGGTTTCTTTCTCATTCGTGGTGGTGCCACCACTGCAACTGGCGGTTGCTTCCTCTGTTTGTACTTTTGGTTTCGGTTTTGAATCCATGGCAGCATTATTAGGTTGTTCCAAGGTTGTTTTTGGAGATGGAACTTTGACTGATTGTAGTTCCCTTGACATTAACGCATTGATGGTGCCGGTGGTTCCAACTTTTATGGATCCACCACCACCTTTGATGGCTTCTAGTGTTTGAGCCATGATCTGTTAAGTCGTTCTTTCTGTATTAAGACAAACAGAAACACGCATATATCGCTTATCAGATTAAGTAAAAAGAGAAGAACACCTATGAAATATTAATATCCCTATATTCAATTAAATTTGGCACTTTTTAATATCTCTTCAATGTTTCAAGTAAATACACCTTTATCAGTTTTGCTAATTTTGGTAACAAACTATTTTCTTTCTCAATTAGGTCACCAAACAAACATTTTTATATTCAATATGTCAAAATGATTACAATTTTTCAGTATTGAAGACACTCATTAGCATTCACATGTACATCATTATCTGAATGTCGCTAAAATAACATTTTTAATCACTTGGTGACTGGATATTCAAAATCATGGTTACTAATAACCCAAATAATGGGTTTCCCAAGTTTAGTGACCTAATTGGCAAAGAAATATTTTGTTACTAAAACTAGCAAAATAATGAGATGGTTGTTACATCAGCAAGATTCACACCTTTGGTTTTAGAATAATTTGTTACTCAAATTAGAAATAATTTGTTATGATTTTACTCTCAAAAAATCAAAGCAAACCCATAAACATGAACATAGCGCAAGGAAGATTCACACCTTTGTTTTCAAAATAACTAAAACCAAATGAAAATAAATCATACTAGATCCATCAACTTGAACAATAAGCAAGCAGGTAGCAGTTTGCTAGATGATGAATTGATGATGACACCTAATTTAAACCCTAATCAGATGCATTGAACAAGTTTCAACATCTAATCAATCAAGAATCCCAATACCCAAAAAAAAGATTTAAAACCCTAATACTCAATCTTAAAACTGATCATAAACCACATACTCGACGTGTCTGTGAGTGAACAATGGTGATCTGTTAATAGAACATTATAAAGAGCTTGAACAACTTAGAAGTCATTATTGAGTGAACTTCAGGTACCGAAAACAGATTTGAACAAGATAGGAACGAATCAAACCCTAATCGAAGAAGATTAAGAACGCTTACCGAAAAGCAGAGTAGTTCCCAAATGAAAACTTATTATAGTAATACAAAGCTCTTGAACTTTCAGGTTTTAGGGGTGAGCAACTGAAGAAGATATGCCACATATGTGTGTGTATAGATGGAAGGTAATGAAAGCATAGAGGTTCGTAATTTCGTATAACCAGTGTAGAAGGAAGCTGAGACAAGATCCGGCATGAAATATCGAATCTACGTGGGAAATGGAGCAACTGGGAAGGACCACCGAAACCAAATTTCAAAATAATTGCTTGAGTAAATTACAAGAATGGTCCCCTTGGTTTGGGGTATATATATGTATTTGGTCTCTAACACTTTGTTATTAACTTTGATCGTTCTTTTGGTTTGATTTTATTTCGAGTTTTGGTTTGATTTTATTTCGAGTTTAGTCTCTAGCCGACTTCAAATGTCTAAATGACCCTTAATATCATTTTTTTTTGTATTTTATTAAAAAGCAAATTTAGAAAATATATGGTCCCATTTTCCCTGACACTAACTATTAACGTCTTATGACTTCACCCTCCCATTTTCTCGTTCCGCCTATCATCCTCATCTTCTATGTTTTTCCCACTCTCTCATCGGCGAAAACACTGTCTTTGTCCCACTCTCCTCTCTTATCTTTATCATCAACAACCAAAACTACCTATCGATTCGTGGAATTGAGTTTACCTGTCTGACATGCCCGATTTCACCATCGACGTAAGGTGGGTCTTCGGGAATTAGAGCACCCCAATCTCTGCAAATATCGTCACATATCTACATCTTCTACTCCAATCTTTGCAAAATCCTCATCCTTTCTCTTTGACCAAACATCACTTCATCATTTTTTTTTGAAATCACGTAGGTTACTTATGTGTGGATTCAATGATTTAAAGATTCTCCAATGAAATCAAGTGTGGTTTTTTGTATAAGGTTTATAACTTACCGGTGTTGGTCTTGAGGTAAGCGGCAAAAAGATGTGACATGACGAGTGACTGACAAGAAAATGTGGCACTAGGTTGGATAAATCGACAACAAGCAAACAATGTCGCTTTGGGTTGGAGATAGTAGGGTGGTGGCAGACAAAAAAATAGGTAGGGATGTCGGATAGGAGGGGGAAGGGAAGGTCGGTGGCCGGAGACAGGAGGGTGGTAGTTGGAAAGGAAGAGGTGTCGACGATGATGTTTTTGTAGAGTGGGGTGAGTGCATCGACAATGAGTCATTTTTCGGAGGTGATGGTGTCACCAATAAGATGAGAGAATAGAGAGGTAACGTGTGAGAAAATAAAGAGATAAATGTCAGTTTTTGATAGGGGTCAGGTTATGGTGGATCCTATTTTAATTAATATTATGAAAAAAGGTAAAATAATAATAAAGAAAAATTGAAAATTAAATACTTAAAGATATAATAATCATTTTAAATATGATAGGTACTAAACTTATTCCAAATCAAACCATAAGAATAGTCCAAGTAAAAGGTTAAAGACCGTAAACTGCTCCAAACACAAGGACCATTCGTGTAATTTACTCTAGTGATGTGTCCCGTCCTTCTTTCCTGCTACTTTTGTTGACTATGGTCTATGGCTTGTTGAAATCAATTTTAGTAAATATATTATTAAAATCTACATGATAATTAAATTAATGAAACCAAATTAAATTCTATGATACTATTTAATAAAAAACTTGTAAGTAAAAAATCTTCAAGTTTATAGATATGTACAAAATATATTTATCATATGTGTGGTTTCTATGTTGACTTGCATATAATATGTATTGTCGATTTGTCGCTTATATATGTGATTAGTTTCCCTCTACAAAATATGACTCGACATGGTCATGAATTATGGATGTTTGTAATAATTTTTTAAAGATTTTTAAAAAGTACATCTTCAAGAATTATGGGAAACAAACATAGAGGAAATAAAGAGTAAATTACACGAATGGTCCCTATGGTTTATAGTAATTTGCGTATTTGGTCCCTAACTTATTTTTTTAACTCGCAAGGTCCCTACTCTTACTAGTCAAATGGCGGGGAGTTAAGTTTCTGTTCAACAATCAAAGAGTACTCCAACTAAAAAGGAGGAGGTGCCAAAAGTTAAAAGATGTGTATGTCCGAAAGCACGAATTAGAGATACGTGGTGCTATTCTTTCTGTTCCAAAGCATCCACGTGTTGATCAAACTCTTTTCATTTTCTTTATTCCATCAGCTTGATTTATTCGATCTGATTCTAATACAAGAGTTTGGTTCGTTATGAGTCTTGTGCGTTATAAAATCAAAGGTCATTAGAATAAGACCATACGAGTTGTTGTTATAGCAAAAGTAAAGGCCTTATCTTGGGTTTAGTCTATAAACCAAGAAGGAACGGGAGTCTGCAATGAGAATTGAGTTTTAACTCAAAGATTAGGATCGAAGGCCCAATAGAGAATGATGAGCGGGTGCAGGTTTGAGCGCCGCTAGTAATTAAGAAGTTTGAAGAGTTTGACGATCTTTTGGCAAACTAAAAGTTAAATATCGTACATTTTAGATTACCACAGAGGAAGTAAGTTAGGACTCGAATGTTGTGACTAGTAATTTCTCGTAAACTTTAGATCTGCTCACATCTTATTTGATTGTGATGCCTCAGATTCTTTCATGCCTTATAAATTCGCACATTCTTTTCAAATTGCTTATTACGCAATTGTCCAATAATTTCATATAGATAACATAGGAAATATATCATTACTTGCTGACAAAGTCTATAAAAATAGTGTCATAGGAATTGAAAGTTATAATCTTCCTGCTAACCTAATTCCTATCTTCTTTCCCAACTTTGATATTATTCTCGACATGAATCGATTGTCAAAGAACTACGCAGATCTCTTGTGCTACGAAGAGATGATATGCATCCCTATCGAAAGGAAGGATTCTTTTATGTCTACGGTGAAAATAATAAATTTCTTTCTTAAAAACTCGTAAATTTATATCGAAGGGATATTCTACTTATCCGGCTTATACAGTTAATACCTTGAAAGAGGAGAAGAAAACTGTGAATGATAACCTTTGGATAATTATCGACCGGCTGATTAAGAGTGCATATTTTCTCGCCATGCGTACAACGGTTCTAATGGAGAAATACGCACAAGTTTACTTAGACGAAATTATGGCGAGACATGGTGTGCCACTAAAGATTATTTCCGATCGTGATACTCGTTTCACTTCTCACTTTTTGGCGAGTATGAAAAGTGAATTGGGATCTCGAGTTGCGCCCAACACAGCTTATCATCCCCAGACAGATGGTTAGATGGAGAGAACAATCCAAACAGTAGAAGATATGATTCGTGCATATGTCTTAGAGTTCGGTAGTAACTGTGAACACCATTATGTTGGCATAATGTAGGACAGAAAATCATTGGTGGTCCTGAAATGATTCAAGACACCACTGATAAGATTCAAATTATACTTAGGGAAAATAAGAATGAGATAAGAGCGAAATATCCTCATTTGTCTAAATCGTTGTGATTTCGGGGACGAAATCCTCAAAAGGATGAGGTATTTGTAACATACACGTTTTGAAATCGTGTTATGTAATTTGAAAAGTTAAAAATATTATGAAATATTATGTGAAATTGAGTGTTGAGTTCTAACAGATAGTTTTCACTAAAAATAAAGTAAAACTATGTTTAGAATCACTCATAAAATATTGGAAGTCTTATGAGATTCCAATTAAAAGCCAAATAGTGAAATTTAGCGAAAATATAAAATTTGAAATAAGTAATATTTTATTATTGAAAGTTGTATATAATCTCGTTAGAAACATGTAGGCGAAAACCTCGTCGAAATCCGAGTTATAACGAAGAAGTTATGACCAATCGAAGATCCGCGATAAAACCGGCACGGTGCCGAATGACGTAAAAAGTGAGTTTTTGATAAACTACTTTTTAGCCTTAGTGGTCTAAATGAAAGTCGTATTATTCATTAAACCAAGAATTTTGATAAAAAGAACGCCAAAATCCGACTTCGTATGAGGAAGTT